TTACCTCGGGAGAGGCAGCATTCCCAACTCTGCTCATGTTGACCCTGGCCGCAGCAAGACCCTGCAGGGTCCCTGCAAATCAACAGAACCCCACGCAAAGGGGACTCACTTGCGAACCCCAATTTGGGGGACCCTGGGTCAGGCCCGGTGAACACTAGGTAAATGGCGCCACCTACCCACAACCTGGGGAAGCGGAGTGCCAAGCCGTCCAAGTGTGCCAAGCTGCAGCTTGTAGTTGAACACTGGTGAGAGAGTCCTGGGTCACCCGTTCTGTTCTTGCCTTCAAACGACTTGACTAGAATGAACATTGCGTCGTCCATTGTGCCTTCGTGCCAGCCTTGCTTACCAGCGCGCCGAGTTCCTACTCGGTGTCATGCACCCTGAAGCCCAAGCCCAAGTTTGACATCCTCCGGTCCGAAAGCCATGCCCGGCAGAGCCAACTACCAATCCAACACCGAGCCAAAGCGCTTGTACTGCGTCTCTGACCGGAAGACGTGTGCTCCGATCCGTACCTTCACCTTGGCGGCTCGGTTCTAGGCCGATGACGATAAAAATGTCGGGTTGGCCTGGGAACACCCATATTCGGTGGGTCCGGTTGGGCAGTTCCTAACAGTCTCCCGTCGAGTCGGACCCCACACTTTTCGGACCCTGCTCGGGATTGATTTGCGGCTTTTTCCGAGCTCCAAGGAAGCCCAGCCTCGCTCTGAACCCACAGAGATATCTCCCGGGACATATCTCGAGGGACAAATCTGAACTACTGATTACTGCTGCTGCTGCTGCTACTACCACCAATGCAGCTACAACTACGACTGCAACTGCGACTGCGACTGCTCCTCCTCAACCTCCTGCTGCTGCTACGACGACGATGTGCATGACTGCAAGTTTGTCTATTATACAACGAGTGACGACAACAACTACTGCGACAACTACATGATATTTCTCTGGCGACGCCGACTACAACTTCGACCACCGCTACCACCAGCCGCACCACCGAAACCATCACCACCACCGCCACCTCCGCCACCATAACCCAGGCCAAGACTGCCGGAAGGCCAGCAACAACCGAAGCTCTAAGCGAACTCCTTTGCTGGCAGTACCAAGTCACATAGGGGTCTGAAGTGCCCTTGCCGAAGAAGTTCCTGGGGGTCAGCGACACCCTTACACTGCCGGTCGGGTCAAGGCGGGCTTCCACCGCCACAACTCACACAAAGCGCAGAGCAAGGCTAGGTGTACTAGGGCAAGCTGTTGAGGTTTCTCTTGCAGTCGGAGGGCTCGAAATGCTTGGCATGGGAAAGCAGAAAAGAAACCAACCACAGCACTGGATAAGACGCGTGTCAAACTTCAAGTATCGGTTCTAGTTGGCTGCCATGGGGCGTGTCCATCGCCAGCAAGTCATTCGCATTCCAGACCGTAACCCAAAGAATTCCTCACGTGAGCTTGAGACTTAACCTTTGTGGGGGCGGTGCTGGCCATAGAGGTCCTGAATCATCAACCCGTCACGCTGAGATCCTGTTCATTCCTAGGAGACTTTTCGTAGACCAAGCGGCCCTCAGGGGGTGGACTCACGATGGAGAAGAGATCCACTTGGGATATCAACCTCAGTTCAGACAAGGCGTGGACTGAAATGAGGTGTGTTCAGGGGATCTCTTCGCCTGCACCCCGAAGGCCACCGTGGCACAAGAGATCCAGGTGTAGGATTGCTGGGCTGGGTGGTTTGGAGAGCTGGTCCGCCCCTTTGAAAGATGTCAAAGAAGCCGAGATGCTTGAATCCGCGGTATCTGGGCGCCACACATGTGCTCGCCAGCACACCTCGCTGCAGTTTCGAATCTTCTAGGAATCTCCACAACAGCTGGAAATGATCTGAGACTGAAGAGAGGCTACTGTGGGCTCATTGTTGTCGGACGTTGTCCCCGGTGCTGTGCCCACATTTTGCGTCGCAGAGTCGACCATGCAAACCCGCAATTCCCGATGACCCATGACCAATGAACCCTATGCAGCGCAGGATCCGTCGTCAAAACTCAAGACTTGCGCCGTCCGCTCTCTGCCGTCCAGGCCACTTGTAAAGACGTCCATGATGCGTCGGTGAATGATCTCGGCACAAACATCCACGAACCGATTGAAGCAGGAGCAAAATCTACAGCAACTAGCCAGCACCGACTTCTGCAAGAACAGCGTTCTCTCCTGGTGCTCTCTTCTTGAAGGCTTTTAACCACGACGAAACAGGTCAGCTGCACAAGCCACCGCCCTGTTGGTCAAGGCCTGAGAGGTCGTAGATCCCCATGCTCGGGCCCCCGGCACTCATGTTCAGTAGGTCGGAGCCCGTCCCGGCAAAGTTCAACTCCATCTCCGGGGCATCCAGGAAGAACAGCCCTGGCGTCTTTTGGGTTCCGGCTCAAGGCTGGAAAGTTCGGCAAAACACCAAAACACTGCTGGTCCAAGCCACGCACACCCTTGAACATGGGCGGATAGGAGATCCTTTGTTGAGGGCTTCGGGAGCTTCGCGGCTTTGCCGTTGAAGCTTCGGGATTAAACTAAACAGGCAGCGCTCTGCTTCGGTGCCCATTTGGGGTGCAACAGCCATGGCTTCCTTGCTTCAACGCAACCTTCAGGAAAGGCAGAAAGGATTTTGTGCTCCCCACTCTGCAGGCCAGCATCATATGGACAAGCTCCACCAGAAGCCTCAGCTGACAACACCCAGTTCTTACTTGCTGGTGTGACTGCGCTATGATGGTACACAGGTTTTACAGCTACACTGATCCTTCTCTCCGTTGCTCGGTTGATTCGTGGTATGCTATTGAATCCAATGGTTCCGTCTCCACACCCGCGAGCACAAACGATCTGACCTTGACATGCTTACATAGCAGATGATTGTACTATTTGTTGACTTCTCCTTGTCTGCTCATTTTGTGTACTGTTGCGGCCGGCCAGCCTCAGATGATAATATTGCATGCTTACGGTACTGGCAGTCTGGTATGCTTCTCTAGATTAGTTTTGCCGCATGGCTGCTTTTCACACACAGCTCAGTCTACGATCGTTATGTCATATACTAGTACCATCGTTAACCTCAGTTCTGGCTGTCAGATACACCGCAGCCATGAATTGCACTGTTCACGACACCAAGCATGCTCTCTCCCTTCGTACGTGTATGGTGTTATCAGGCCTTCGATTTCGACCCTCATCGATTTGGAGTTCCGCGTCTTTAAAGCCCGGAGCTGCGGGAACCCAGCCCTGGGAGGAGCTCACAGAAATGCTTCCAAAGCACTGCCCCTTCATCACCATGCCTGCATGGCTGCAGTGCATAGCATCACGTGCAAAGGATGCAAACTTCTCCACTACGCTCCACAGATATTGGTAATCTCCTGCGAACACGCACTTGTTTAGACCATACCAGCACCCCTGAAACCTCCAAAGCTGGTGCCCGCACGCATGCTCGCGTGCTTGTCGCTGCAGACGTTTACCCAAAGCCCAACGATCTTGTGTTGCGGGCTTTAGTCTTGGCGTAGCTGTCTGCGGCTTCGTGTTCGCATACATGTATCCTTGCTCTCTGCAGCGTCACATTTCGCTTCATGTCTGTAAATATTTGGTTGCTCACCGCTGGACGCTTGTTTTCGAAACTCGTGCCGCTGCTACTCTGCATGGTCGAGACTCGAGAACCAAGACCACAGCTCGCGAAGTCTTCCCAACTTTTGTTGTTTTCCCCCTCTCGCATGGCTAGGGATCTATGCCCACAAGCGAGGATGACTTGATTCAACGACGCAACTGTGCCATCACGATATAGATCCACTCCAGAACAGATGAAAAGACCTTTGGGCTTAGACTTTATTTTTCGAGTTTTTTGCTGCCAACTCCTCTCGACAGCCGCGCCTTGGACACCCATCTCGGCCCCGGCGACTTTGAACATAACATTGAGGTCAGCGTTCCACTCCTTTAGGGCTGACACTCGGACTGGCCAGATGAGGTTTGCAGCTCTGCTGCTTGGGTTATAGCTTGCGGTGCTTGCGGACTGCGCCTTGCAGAATTCCGGCACCGTATGACTTGGGCTGTAGGAGTTTGAGGAAGCTGGACTTGTGAAGCATGCCCGTGGGAAAGAACTTAGGCTAGGGAAGGTTGACGCAGAGACTTCATGTCGGATCGTGATCGAGCCCTGCATTAGCCCGTAGCAGTATGCAGGGCTAATAAATTGCAAGTTCCAGGCAATAGGGGAGCCCAACAAAGAGCCCCAACTGGTAGGATCCTGATTAGAAGTATCCCAAAACACGGATACCCTCATTTTCTGAAACCCCCCCTAGTTGATGGCAGGGCACGAAGCGACAGCGAAACACGATGTTCTCGCACATGCCTTCAGCAGTCTTCTCCTGGCCCAACACGCTCAAGGCGATTGAAACCCGGCCCCCCCGGTACACCGGTATACTCAGTCATACATACGGGCAGACATGTAGGTATGTACGGTTCTTCCAAACCAAATGTCAGGCTTTCGGCGGATATTTTTTACATATGCTTTGTATAGGTCCATCTCAAAACACAAGACATTGAGCATCCAGCCACTCGAAATTCTGTTGCCAACCGCAAGGGTCCTTGCCCACTACTTCGCGGTAGCATACTGCGAGCAGCCAAAGACAAAAACTCGAAGCCCCGGCACCTTGCGATCGAAGATCTTGATGCTTGTGAACTGCACCGCCTCATCCCCTGGCAACTCTCGCTTCGACGTGCATCACGGAAACAAAATCGAAGTCAAGAGCTTGCTGGCACAATTTTGTGTGAGTTCAGATGCAACCGCAGAGAGCATCATGGCTGCGTGCCAGCCAGGCCTAAGTGACAACGATCCTTGTCGAAGTCCGCCCCCTGCGCAGCGGCTGGGTAAGAAAAAGGAGTTGGCGACTCTGACAATTTAGGGCTTCTTAGGCCATAGGACCCAAGCCGATCTATGATCTATGTAATCACGACGTGGGCAGCTGGAGTGCCGGATCTTAGCTTTCAGCCTGCTGAAAGAAGAGGGTTCGTCAACCTTCATTCTGACCGTTTTGGCTCGCCTGTAGTTGCGACGGCAAAGCTGAGCGGACCATGGGACCGATCTCCTTCGTGATCAGCTCGTGTGCCTCGCCAGGGTTTGGGGCTTACGGTTGGGGGCTTCGGGAGCCCGAAAGCATGGAGCAATGGCCGTGGAGTGATGCTGGTGACTTTGAGGAACTTGATTTCGACGATGAGAATGGTTCTTCTAGTTGCGGAGGCAGTGAGAGGGAGCCGTGGCAGCAGCCATGACGAGGTCGGCAATGCCCAGGAACCAACTCTTGCCCAAGCGGCCCAATGCGAGATTCGGGGCCACAGGAAGCTCAAGATCTCCTGAGGGCTCAGGGCTTGGAATTTCGGATTTAGCGATAAAGTGATCAAGGCTGTCCGGCCGTTGCATTGATCAGCAGGTATTAATAAGACAGCTGCAAACATCCAAAAATCCAAAGCCGAGCGGTCGCACGACTGCTACAGCATCAAAGCAGGGGCACGTTGGCCGGCTCAGCGATTGGCGCGATGTAACCTGCAGTTCACTAGCGAGGAGCTTCTTGAGATAGAAATCGAAGCATGCAGAATAAATACAAGTAAAAGTTAGAGACCACTTTATGCATTGATGCTCGACAGTCGACTTCCCAGTTGAATCAGAAAGCCCAAAGCAGAAGCTCCCCAAGTTTCGAAGCCCGCCCCCCCACACCCCAAACCCGCTCAAGCTGTGCCTTTGGGCGTGTCCAGCGAGACGCTCCCCTCCGTGGGCTTCTGACCCACGTTCATGGAGTTGGTCCTGGGCTTGAGAGGGCCCAGACTTTCAGAACCGTAAACGGCCCACCTCTGTGCCCGTGAGCACACGCATGTAGGTTGGCATGTGAATCGCAAAGGCTGAGATTACTCTCGTAAGGCGTTACTACGACCTTAGCCTTCTGCAGCTGTAGAAATGCCAAAGCAAATTTCGGGCGTCGACCTTCGACGGTTGCACCCCGAGACTTGAGGAGCTGGTTGGTCATGTACCAGTACTGTATGGTTTTCTTTTTTCCCACCCGCTTCGCTGTCTAGGTCGCACTGTATGGTTTAGGGTTTCGGGTTTAGGGTTTAGGGTGAGGGGTCCCCTGGCCCCACGACCCACTTCTGGCTGCGCTGCAACTGGCTCATCCCACGTGAGTAGCCACCCGGGTCGGCACCAGTTTTGAGCTCCACATCTCGGACAGGGGGACAGGGAGACATGGTGTCGAGAGCCTACGTAGACAGGTTCTCCGCACAAACGTAAGAAGAGGGAGCAGCACAAGCAGCAGGAGCCTTCACTTACACGTATCTATTGGTTGCGGGTGGCCAAAAGAGCCGCATGACATCTGCTGTTATTGCCTGAGCACCCGAGGTCTGAAAGGAAAGGGTGATATCGGTCACGACGATCGTCATGATCATTTTCGTTGTTACCATACCTCATCCCTCACACCTCGCCTCCGTCTCCAGTAGCTGGACGCTGATGCATTCGCGTCTCGCGCAGCTCATGTCGGAGCGCCTACAACTGCATGAAAAGCAATGGCCGTTTTAGGGTTCAGGCCGCAGAAAAAAGAGGCTAGACAGTTGATAGCCCCTTTTTTGAACCAAGACTCTGCCAATCAGCTGGGAAGCAGCACTTCCAGACTGTTGCATCAGCTGATAACCCCTAAACCCTTTTGCATCCGGTCTGCCGCGACTCTACCCCTAAACCCTAAACCCCGAGTCACCGCAAGGATTGGCTGAAACCTGAAACCGTGGTCGGGCCTTCAAGTCGCCTCGCAGGTCGTGGACCTTTCGGGACTCTTGAAAGGACGAGAAAAAGGATTACTCTACTAGTTCTGCAGGGGCTACTGTGGTACTAGAAGAGTTCCGGTTACTAGTTACCAGGTGTCTAGAAATGGTCTTGGAAGGTTGGGTCTTTGACGAAACTACCCCGGGTTCATCGTCTTTGTGACAATCAGAAGAAGCATTCCGAAATGATTCGAACGCCCCTGCAGCCGAGTGAAACTGTGCATGCCTCCTTGTGAATCTCGTTCGTCGGCCTCAGCTCAAAGAGCGAGCGAAAGATATGGCTCCCCTGTCAAAGGGCCAGAAAAACAGGCATGCAAAAAGATATGGGGAACCCTCCCTCTCTCGCTCTCTCCATCTCTCTCTCTCTCTCTCTCGCTCGGTCGCTCGCGCTTCTTCAACACAGTCAGAGGAAGAGTGTGCACCCCTCCGTCCCTGGTCTGTGCGTCGGTTGACACTCTCTCTCTCTCTCCTCTCTCACTCTCTCTTTTCGCCAGGGCTAGGGTGAGGACCTCTCCACCGCACTTTCGCGCCCGTGACTGTTGTGGGGCGAAATGTGAATTCGGCTAACTCCACCGAGCAAGGACTTCAGCTGAGAGGGCATCACATGAATCAAAAGGGAGAGCAATCAGCAAGTAAAAAGAAATATGGCAGAACCTGTCCCCGAAGTGCCTTGCGCGCGGTTATTCCCCGATACATGGAGTTGCTTGGCTTGCATGGCTCGACAGCAGTACAACAGTCAGCCTAAAGAGAGAATCAACACCAAGGCCTGATCTATCGTTCTACTGCGCTACTGAGGTGCTGACAGAATTCCCGTTTGTAATTGAAGCAGCGGCTAAAGTCATGACCAAGGCAGGCATGATAGGCTATGGCGGAAAGTAAGGGGAAGCTTGCCGATTCAACTCAAAGCTCAAAGGTGATGCACGTCTCTCTGACATGTCATGCTATATGGACTCAGGTATGACAAACGAACAAGGTAGCCGTGTTGCAGCGTTAACAGTTCCTCTCCCTCTCTCTCCCTCTCCCTCTCTCTCTCGCTCTCTCTCTCTGTCTCTCTCTTCTGTAGTTGTCCCTGTCTCTGTCTCTCACTCTCTCTCTTCTCCAAGTGGCTGTTGGCCGGCGGCATGGGAGCACCCCATGGCGCCAGCAAAGACCAAGAGGGTTCAGAACACCAGACCGACACCATCCTTCAATTGGAATTTCCTTAAGCCTAATCCAAATCGTCATGACGTTGCGGTGACCTGAAGTCACCTTTGCTTTCGAAGGTTGCTGTCACCCCACTCCCGATACGCTCGGTCACGACGTGCAGCCCGTGTTGGGCCGGCAGCCAGGCTGGAGCCAGACACACATTGCCGAAATATTTACATCACAGCACGTTCACTTCATCTGATGCTATGTACCTTGCTACACTCTACAGACACTGAATACGCTGACGGGCCCGCTCGCCCTCAACAACCCTTTGAACCGGCAAGCTGGTGGAAAGACTGGTCGCGGCACTCCAACGGTCACCAGACGCTAGCCACTAGCCTGAACGTCTCCATGGTACTCAACCAGAGCGCGAACTCTACGCAACAAGCCCTCACTCGCTACTCCATAGACGATGGACTGCAGTCACCTCTTGACCTAGTGTACGCCCTTCCGCGCCCGGCTGCCGAGCGGGGCGATGCCAAGTGATGAGGCGATCGTCGTCTTGAAGGCTCCTGAGCAGGGGCACAGCTCTGGGATTGGCGGCAAAGCCGGTTTCGGAAACCCGCGGATGGGCATTGGTCTGACGTCGCAGTCGAAAGCATGCCAACGCTTGTCCACCAGGCAGTATTGCTCGTAACCAAGGAACCACCCCTTGTCACCCGTTCAACTGCGAGATGTTCCATGGTGCCTCGCCGCAGTGCTACCTGACAGCCCTCCGTGTGCCTCAGGAAGGCATTGATGAAGAATCCGTCCTGCGAGCTGCGGAAGGCGTGACCTCTTTCTGTAAGGCACACGACTGGCGTGGAGTCTCGGCTCCACTCTGGGTTCGACTGCTCTCCAAGTCCGCTTTTATGCATTTACATTGGCAGCAGTGGTCAAATCATACATGAGCACAGGCTTGGGTTGAGCCCATAGATGTTTTTCCTAAGGACACAGGAAAGTGTCGAAGGGCGATGGTCCGAGGCCTTGCTTCGGTTGCCTTGATCCGCTTTCGATGAGATCGCCCTTCCACACATCGAAAAGCTCAGACGGCTCCGCCGCAGCGGCTGCTTCGGCTGCTTCGGCCTGGGCCTCGGGGCCTTCATCGACTCGGCTTCCCAAGGCCGGACACCCCCGGATGAAATCTCAGCCGTACTGCTCGATCCGCCATACCCGCACAGCACCTGCAGGGCAGGTGCCAAAGATGCGTTTTAGCGGGCTCCAGGATGGCGAGGGCAGGTGCCGAATCGAGAGACCAGGATAAACCCCCAGAAGTGGAGGCATCTACAACCCATTTCTTGGACTTCGCTGCCGCCCAACCAAAACTGGAGCCCCAGTCCTGAAATGCAGCACCAGGGTTTCTCTCCCTTCACACTCCAGGGACGACACCCAGAACTGCTTGGCTTCTTAGCCCCGGCTGATCCGAATCCGAAGGCTTCTCAAACAACGGCTGAGTCCATCACGGCAAGAGCCGCCACTCAACTCTAACTTCTAAAGCCCCCCTTGCTTCTCTGGCACGGTCGTGCGACGCTGAGAAGAGTCGGTTGCCTGCTTTGGTCTTTTTGGGGGAGTTGAGATGCTGCTCTTGCCTACTCCTCCTCCCATCCGACAAGGCTTCGCACACGATTCCTGCGATATTTCACGCTCGGTTCTGCGAGGTTTTGGCAAAGAGTCAATGGGATTTCTTGCTATCTAGGTGTAGAAAAGGCTCCCGGGTGCATGCTTTGGGCCTTGGAGCTCTCAGCTTGGGAATCTGGATTCTTGAAACCCCCGGTACATTGGCAACATTCGTGAAAGGTTGGGGTGTCTATCACTATCCTTGCCACTTCTTCGTTCTCCTTCTCTCTGCCTCGCTTCGGTTTGAAGCGACCCATGAGCCTCTCTTTGAAGCCCCTGGGACCGAACGAGAGCACGCTACTAGTGTTTACTCAAAACTAGCAGCCGGCTCCGCGCGAGGCGATGGGAAGGGCCTTTTTGCAATTTGAACGCTGGCCTTGGGCCCGAGCCGTGGGCGGTTGCTGCCATGAAGATCTCGCTATCTCGCACAGGCGACCCCCTAGAGCCCGATATACGTCGGACCGAAAGACTCCTCTTCTGGTTTCCTTCTTGAAAACCGGGGCTTTCCCAAGCGAACCCAAAAAAGACTCTCACCCCCGGGCCTACAGCTGTCAGCGCGGAGACCGGACCACGGTGGCCCTGGCGCAACAGCGGTTTTGTTTCGGTTCGGGCACTCGGGTGCGCCTGGCCTGGCCAGGGGCAAGAGATCACGGGTTCACCGGTGGCCACAAAAAAAGGGGAAAAGGTCTGACAATGTACAAGCCCCCAGCCGCATCGGATTGAAAAACCGCGTAAATTCGGGTAAGGGCTGTGACGGCAACCGGATGCCGAAGACCATAAGTAAACCGGTGGGGCCTGTAACGGAAACCATGGAAAACCCCGGGAAACCGAATTCAACCACTGCAAACCTGCAACGGGAATCCAGGCTGCTTGTGCTTCGCGGTGCTTTGTCCCCTTGCTTACTTGTATCTATCTTCTCTCCCGTTTTGCAATGTGTGCGTCTTGATGCACTCTCAGCCACTATCCTGTTTGCGGCGTGTGCTTCTTGGTATGTTGCATGTACCCCTCTCGTTCGTTTGCAGATTGTGCCCGATCCCGTCTGCTCCTCGAAGCCCGAAAACCTCCAAAGCCGCAGCCTCAAGCCGCAGAAACCTCCCTAGTCCTAGAGATTCTGCAGTGCCTGCAACACGTCTTGACACTGGAGCTCGCCATCCCAGACCTTCACGACGCCGTCCTGAGGCCCGACACTCCGCTTGGGCCAAGCTGAGCCTTGCCGAACCTTTCGGACCGCTTTCGGGTGGCGATGTGCGAGACGCCCTGCAGCCCCCAAAGGGCCCGCAGATGCCTCAGCCCCCTCCGTGGGATTAGAGTCCTTGGAGCCGGAGAAGAGCACGTCATCGCTCGGAGACCTTGGACTTTTCACCCGGAGTTTTGGGGGCTCAGGTTCTTGCAGATTGGTCTTTGTGACGGCTTTGCCTTGCGAACTTCTGAAACTGGGGATCTTTGGATGTGGGCCACACTTCTCTTCTGGCTTTGGGTTTCGCCCGAGTGCAGAGCCATGTTCCCCAAAGCTTAACCTAAGCAAAGCGCCCTTGCTCACACAACACGCTGGCTTTGTGGATGGAACGGTGCTCGGAAGCTTGTGTGTAATTTTTCACATGTGTTGCCTGGTGTTCGCAGCTCCTGGCACGAACGCTTGCATCGTACCTGACATGTCCGAGCGGCATGCAAAGTGCCTGGATCCAGTCGCCGTGCACGTGCAACGTGTGCATGGTGTTGGTCAGTGATTGCCTGAGAGGACTGGCCATCTTACCGGATTCCGGGTGCACATGGGCTTGGCTTTCAAAGCTCGGACAGGTTTGCTGTGTTCACACAGTTCTACATGGGAAACTTTAATGCACAGCAAGCGGCACGTCCCACTCCTTGATGGATCTGTCTCCTTAAGCCAATCCCCATGCTGTGGATGCACTTGGCTTCACATGGCTACTTGGCTTTGCAGGATCAGATGCCTTGCAGCCCTGTTCTGGACGCACTACACGGACCTCTAAACCCTGGCCCGGAAAGCCAACTGCGCCCCACCCCACTCTCTGCGGGCCAGTCATCTGGAGCCCGAATAGAACTTGCCATGCTTCCCTGGACATGCAGTGAGGGTTTGTGGGGAGGAAGATGGAGATTGTACCCTCGCTCTCGATCCCGAGGTGCAGGCGTAGGGCCTAGGGTTCAAAGCTTGAAGGTGACGGTTGAGTGGTCTTTGCACGGTTGAGACCTGCAGCTGCTGAGCCTGTTCTCCATGGCTTTCCCGTCCCGGGTGCTTGTCCTAACTGCCCTGATTCTTTTCAACCGATGCAATCATCGCAGGTCTTCGGGACATGTGGAAGGCACTGGGCATACTGGTTGCATCGGACCCAACAGCACCGGATTTCCTGGCCGTTATGTGCGTCACTGGCTTCGGACTCGTCATACCATGGGGCGTCAATGAATCCGCAGTACGACTTTCAGTCGCGGATGGTGGCTCCCAAACATCCGTGCACTCATGCAAATGTCGCAGGTACTTTCACTACGACCCTACCGTGACGGCGATGCTATGCTGACTTCTACAGGAATCCTTGGTAGCAAACGCGACCTCCAGGACTGCAACATTGACTGCCAGGCTCCTGTGTTACTGTTGCTTGCAGTAGCAGTGGCAGTGGCACAATGGCAGTGGCAGTGGCAACAGCAGCGGCAGCGGGAGGAGGAGGAGGAGTAGTAAGAGTAGAAGTAGTAGTAGTAGTAGTAGTAGTAGTAGTGGTGGTGGTGGTAGTAGCAGCAG